GTAGATTACATTTCATATAAACACACACCTGGTCAGCTCGTCTCTGGCTCTGCGCCGTGTTGGTTCCTCCCATGATGGAATAGATGTCGATGTGTCCGTCGAAGCTTGCAGCCGACAGCACCGCAGGGTTTCTGGGACACCACTGGATGTCAAAGCACCACGGACTGCTAGTGGGCAACTCGTACAGCACCTGAGGATCCAATCAGATCATTTATTTACATCAGAGGTACAACAATGGGACAGGTTTTTGTTCCATTTGCTACTTTGAATGTGTTAATAAAACATTTATAGTAATGTTTACCTCTGCTGTGTTTGGGTTCCAGCACAGAATCCTGTTGTCCTTTCCGCAGCTCAGGAGCAGATCAGGATCAGCCAGACTCCAGGCGATGGACAGGACACCCCTGTTTGTAGACATCAGGTAAGTCTTAAAAATTCACATACTTTTTAAGGGAAATGAGAAAAAAGCTTTAAGCTCCTTTGCCACAAACAGATGCTTTTACCGTGTGTGATTCTCTAAAATCTTGAGAGGAGAGGAAGCAAAGCGTAAGTCCCACATCTGGATAACCGGCATTCGATCGTCTTCCGAGGACAAAACCAGCTGAGTGGCAACTTCTGGGTTCCAAGCCAGCCCGGAACAATGCATCTGAAAAAAAAAAAACATGCACATTAAATAAAGACAGTTTCAATTGAAATTATTATTCAAAGATCCAGCATTATTTTTAGTCCAAGACTTCCTCCGAGTGCAGAAGGATCAACGTACTCTGTTGCTGTGGTCGCTGACTTTGATAATGAGGTCGTTCTTGCGGAGGTCCCACACTGAGGCTCGGCCACTCGGGCTGGCAGAGGCCAGGATGTGTTGGACCTGTCTGTTCCACGACACATAGCTGATGTCCTCCAGAGGCTTTAAGACAAGAACATTAGCTCTTTTTGTCATTATACATTCAGAAAATTCAAGATATTCATGGTCTAAACTGCTACAACCGTTATTTACCCACATTAAATGACACAGATGTTTCTGTTCAATGCTTTAACAAAGTAATTAGGGCTGCATAATATTTCATTTCAGAATTGAAAGAATATGCAGCCTTACCTGAGTTTTAGGTCCTGGTGTCATTGGAGAGCCAAAGTTATTCATGTCCCAGATATATATTTCAGACTCATTCCCACCTGATGCAACCAGGTTTGTCTGCAGCACAGAGGAAACAATACAAAATGAGTCACTGTATTTGGTTTTAAACTGACTGCTTGCATGTGATAGATTCACTGAAGCTGGAGTTAAATGGATCGTACCTGGAACGGGTTGACGTCGAGACCTCTGACTGGCCCAGTGTGCTTGTCACTCTCTGCAATGATCACGTCGGTCTCTCCAGCCATGATCTTTGCCGGGTCGTACAGAATGACGTTGCCATTCTCGCCTCCGGCAACAAGGACCCCGGATGGGTTACCTTGGGAATCTATCCCATAGGGGCCCCATACCAGTTTGTGGTATCTGTGGGGAGGAAGAAGCACAACATGTGTGATGACAACTGCACTTGAAGGCATTTTTTTTAAAAAGCATTATTTCATTGGCAGCTTTTAGTACCTGTGAGAGGAGACGAGGCTGCCACATGACTTCATGTCCAGAGATGGGTCTGACAAGTCCAGCTCGAAAAACTCCAGCGAGGCATTGGTGCTGAAGGAGGCATCCAGCTGCTGGGCTGATGTTCCTGCAGAGAGAGGAATCAGAAACTTTGGTGCATGCTGTGACATATAAAACATAATGTTGCATTGATCGTACTTATCAGAAAGAGTCTAAAATGACACTAAAGATTGCTTGAAGAGCATACTAAGGAGTGAGTGTAAAGAATAAGACACATTTATTAAGAGACGTATGCCTACCTATAGAAAGTCATCAAATGATTAATAACTTTTAAGCTCAAAGCAGGACCAGATAATTGGAGAGCTTACACCAGCCATATTGTTATTTATTTTCAAGGGAATATATTCATTTGCTCAGTGATATATGTTATTATATTGTTTCAAATGTCTCTTTTTTTCGTGAGGATACTTTAATAACTACTGCAGCAATTAAATTTGAATTAACAACAATTGAATTGTGCCATATATTCTATAAATAGGGATGAAGTAACAGCAAATGGATGTAATGGAAACAAAAAGAAATTAATATAAATCAGAAAAAGACCGCAATGAAGATGAAATTGATACCGCAAGTGAAGGAGTTCAAGTATCTCGGGGTCTTGTTCTCGAGTGAGGGAACAATGGAGCGTGAGATGGGTCGGAGAATCGGAGCAGCGGGAGCGGTACTGTAGTCGCTGTCCCGCACCGTTGTGACGAAAAGAGAGCTGAGCCAGAAGGCAAAGCTCTCTGTCTACCGGGCCATTTTCGCTTCTACCCTCACCTATGGTCATGAAGGATGGGTCATGACCGAAAGAACGAGATCGCGGATACAAGCGGCCGAGATGGGTTTTCTCCGCAGGGTGGCTGGTCATCCGGGAGGGACTCGGAGTTGAACCGCTCCTCCTTCGCGTCGAAAGGAGCCAGTCGAGGTGGTTTGGACACCTAGTAAGGATGCCACCTGGGCGCCTCCCTAGGGAAGTGTTCCAGGCACGTCCAGCTGGTAGGAGAGCGAGGGGTAGACCTAGGACCAGGTGGAGGGATTATATATCTTCGCTGGCCTGGGAACGCCTTGGGATCCCCTAGTCAGAGCTGGTTGATGTGGCCAGGGAAAGGAACGTTTGGGGCTCTCTGCTGGAACTGCTACCTCCGCGACCCGACCACGGATAAGCGGGAGAAGATGGATGGAAAGTGATTGCAACCTAAATGAATGCCAATGGAGGTGCATGCTCTGCACCTCCATTTGTATGGTTTGTATGGCTGGAAGGCCAAAATTATTAAATGTCCTGTCAAAAAATACACCATTGCTGCATGCTCATACCTGTTGCAAGGTAGATGGGGTGGTGCTGTGCAGGACTCCAGCTCTGGATGGCTGTGCGGTTAATCTCCTTAAGTTTCATCCTGGGAAAAAAGTTTACATTTTGAAGGAATATGTAGTGATTATTCCAGTTTGATTTAGTTTTCCCTCCATTAGGCTTCTGCTGTTATCAAAACAAATAACAGAGCATGCTTTTTTATAAAAAATTATTTTATGCATTTAAGGATAGGTTCACACATGTGTTTAATGTATGTATTAAATAAACACTTGCATTCCAATATGTATATTCACAGTTTTGGTTCGCTGGGTTCATGGTGTCCATACTGGCTGTCCAAAGATCACTTCTTATCATGTCTTTATTATGAAATGTTCTCTTTTTTCCCTTGACCATTTTTCTATACTGGGCCATGGTGGTAGTATAGTAACATAGAGAGAGAGGAATATTGCAATACAAGTTCACTAATTTAGAAGTCTTTCATTTTTGAAGTGGTGGAGCTGTTGAATTGCATTAGTTTATAAAGACAAATGATTCCGTTATTGAATTTACCATTATTGATATAAATGTGGTGTGCAGAATAATAGAAACACATCCTCCTAAAGGACTGTGCAGTTTAATAAAGTGTTAACCTTCATGAAGAGAGGATTTATAAGAGGCTGTTGTAGAAAAGTTACATTAGCTTGGTGTACATAATACATTTCAACTGGGTGTAAGTATTTTTGTTAAGATAGCAATGTGAACCCGTCCTTTAAAACTAGGAAAGGGAACACCTGCATGTATTTATTTAGCAATACAGTTTTTATTCCAACTTGTATGAAGTGCATTGCCAGCATTCGGCCTCGCTACTGTAATAAATACAGTAGTTACTGAATTATACTCAAAGGCCTACTTTGACTGACACCAATGAAGACCTGCGCATTTTTAAGCTATTTTGCAGAAATGATATTGCAAATGCTTTATCTAGCTCTGAAGAAACTTGGCAGCATGTCGGTGTACTTTCTTCATTCAAAGGTTAACAATAGAAAAACAAAGTGCAATACAAGCTAGCAGCAAGCTAACAGCTGATGGACCATTTAAAAGCTACACAGCAAAGGCAATAATCAAGGAATAAACTATATGAAGAAATTAGAGTCAAAATGAAAAACTGAATTGGCTGCAGAATAATGTCACTTTTTATCATGCTTCACATGAACATTGTACAGCATGTCCTAAAGGCAACATTATCTCGCCTGCTAGCTGCCTGCAATACATAACAGTGGGAAGACAGTTTTATACACTAACAGATCTTATTACTTCACTAAGGCGGCTTACCTTCCTTCCTTTGCGCCCTCTTACATGAACACACACATAAAATAGTTGACAAATACTCCTGCGACTGTACAGGTTCCTCGTTCGGCTCCACTTCGGGATTAGAGGGTGTAATAACAGAAGAGGCTACCGGGTCCCGACTACGGACTCAAGACAGATTTCCACGTCCCCACTGGTCTCCATCAACGTGGCACTCAGCAACACCGCTGCCACGAAGAACAACAACTTCCGGGGGACGTCTTCGCCGCTACCATGGCTAGCATGCAAAATATGCCATAGTTTTACCAGAGGTTTTATATTTACAAGTAATTATAGAACCTTTTTGTTCAACATCGTCCAAAAAAGTATATGTTCTACAGTACTACACCTGCTAGCATGCTAATGATGCTATCATAGAGAGATGCATATGTATACCCATGCTAACATGCTAATTGTAGTTTTAATGAATTGCTACCCCTGCTATCATGCTAACTATGCTACCATAGACACACATGCATATGAATAGCACTACTAACTATGCTAACGTTACTGTCAACACATAAGTATGCCAAATAAAATGGAACATAAGTAAATGTAGTTTCATAGGTGTTTTTTTATTTATTTGTTTACGTTTACTCATTGAGATATTTCATGTTATGATTAGTGTAAGATACCCACTTAATTGTTCCAAGCACAACAATAAATGTATTTTGTATATCTGATGATAAATGAACAAATGTATGTTAAACTGCAGATCCCCACAAATAACAATAAACAACACATTTGCTTCACAATTTGTATTTATTTGGTAATGAATAATATAAATGAGATACGAAGACAAACCAATAAAGTGCTTTTGGTAAATGTAGGTGTGTCAAGAAATCACTTGATGCCACTTGAACAGGCCGACCCTGAAAGAATAATGGTGATACAGTAAGGTAAAGTTAGTTTTACACAGACTTAGCAAGGTCTTTAGAGAATGAATGCCAACACCCTCATTTTATATCTAATTTATAATCCTCCCCAGACACATGAATGGGTCAAATGGGTAGTGATTGAAATAATCATTGGGATGCTTATTTACTTAACTATAATAACAGTTCTGCAATACGTACATATCAGGTCCACGCTGCTCAATTTCCTGGTACGCCTTTTTCTGTCAACACAAGATTTGCAGATGTTGAAACTTGGTCAATTAGCAATTTTGCACCAAACGACTATTTTTGTATAAGAGTTTGGTGGGGCGTAACCATAGATAAAGGGGCGTAACGTATCTCACAAACTGTCTTCTTGAGCATGTGTTGTCAGAGTTGAGTTTCAAGAAAAAGACAAACTTGAATGATCCCCAATGGGAAAATTACAGTTTACTATGTACAGTAAGCTAATTGTGGTGTAAAAAAATATTAAATACATGACCTCATTGACAATACCATACTCTAGTATTGACTGGTTTAATTTACAATTGACTTACCTAATTACCGAACATGGACCCCACGCGAGATACTATTTTAGCTAACTTATACCGACTACATTAATTAAATACGCACAAAACGAGCATTTTAACACTGGAATATAACAATGCAATATTTAATTTGCACCAGCCGAAGATTCCTTCACCTCACTTCTTCATCTTGAAATATTCTTCTTCTGGTTCACTCATAACTTCGATTATGTGCGCATTACTGCCACCTATTGGTTGATATCAAAGGCACTGGGGGGGGGGGAGGCGGTGGGTGTACAGGTGAAAAGGGTGGATGTAGTACATTTTTATTTTGTGACAATACTCTTTCTTTGATTTGCAAGGCAGACTGGAAAGGCACATCCATGCACCTTTTTCCCAGAATTATATATTTAAAACTGAAGTCTCCCAGGTTGAGAACTACTTCATATAGATTTTTCTTGATGAATTAGATTCCCAATTTCAATCTTTGAATTGCCCTTTGTTTTCACAATGTGAACTGAACTAGAATTGTCGTAACAACCCAGTTTTGCCCAAATAATATAACCTAAAACAGATTTTATGGTTTGAAATCACTAACAGTATAAAAAAATATATATAGGAGTTATGGAAACAAATAAGCACTGTTCTACAATGCAATTAAAGGGTTGCGGTATAATGTATTAATAAAAAGGCAAGAGGCAGATATGGGTCTCTGGTTCTTTCTTTTTTTTATCTGTGGTAATTGTAACACAAAACCAATCATCAGCTATGCGTGTGTGACAGATCTGGATCACCTTGTTAGTTGCATTACTTCAGCCATTAATTTAATGTTATACTCCCATGCTCCAACCATGAGATGTCTTGATGGAGGTTTTCTAATTTCTGCCACTTTGACATCAAAAAACAACTTCCGAACCCCTTTCTCCACTCTCTTCTAGTGAGACACATAATTGAACAAGTCTTATAGGTCTCAATTGTTTTTCCCATGTATGGTGTTTTTTAATGTTCAGTAAGCATGTGACTGATCAAACAGAAAACCGCACAGAGAAACGTGAACCTTCGCTAATCTTGCCATGTTCCAACTATTATGAGCACAGTGCTGTGTGTGTTCATAATGCATTAATGTGTATTCAATTTACGATTGCCTTTAGGGATCAAACCCAGGACTGCCTCTACTCTGACACAATTTAGCCTAGCCTTGGTTAATAATTAACAATTTGCAGCACTAAAAATCACACAATATTAGCACTCACAATGATTACAAATACTTGTCAAAATAAATATCAAAAGATACATGTTCTTTTTATCTACTGTAAGCACAAATGATTACATTAAAATTACAGGCATTTCTTTTTGGAAAAAAACTCAAAGGGGGGAAAGAATAATAGAAAATAGAATAAAATGGAAGAACAAAAGTTTGGAGGGCACAAAAACATTTCATAGAGCCCTGTATGGAAAATGAAGTAGAGAAACCCTCCAGTCCATGTGGACTACCTTGCTCAGTCCTTTCTGTCCATAACAGGTGAACAAGTGTGAGAACTGTTTTTAATATCCATCAGAGGCGACGTGCTCTGTCCATTCTCCTTCGGTTTGCAAACATCTGCTCAATGTTTATTATTCCAGCTGGCCTCTGCCTGCTAAGGGCGGGGGAATCTACTTTCAGGCCATTGTTCTGCCTTTAGAGGAGGGAGGCGACCTGTTCCTTGCAGGAGAGAAACCCCAGGGGTCCGAGAGAGTAGAGTCATCTGTTTCTCTCGGCCCCGCAGCTGTGTGCATATTAGAGGGTGGGGGAAAGCCAAAAAGCTTGGCCTAGCAATTGATGGAAGCACAGTCTGCTTTGGCTTTCCCCGCCGAGCTGATGATCCTCATGAGGCAGTGTCCGAACTCCTCCAGGATCATCCGCTCTGCTTCCACCTGAGGCTGATGAGTCTGTTCCGCCTTTTTGGCCTGTTCCAGCAGACACTCGCACGTTGCTTCAAGAACCTCCTTTGTTACAAACGTAAATGGCAGCCTAAGAGAAAAGAAGGACAGGGTCTTGGTTAGAAAATAAATTACCCTTCTCTTGGGGTTTGAAAGGGCATTTTAATTCTTATAACGCTTGAATTTTACAACAGTTTTTTCCCCTTTCAATGCCTATTGTTTGAATTTGGTATTCTGCACATTTGCAGACCCTTTTATTATTAGTATTATACTATTTAGAGAATTAGCTTGCAGTGGTTGCTGCATAAGATTGTTTCCAACTTGTGTGATCCAAAACATTTCCAATAAAGATACAATTCAATAATTGTTTAATCCACCATGTTTATTAAATGATACGTTTAATAATATTCATATGTTTAGCTTTTCCTAAATAACATTTTTGCTGCAGTCAAAAACAAACTTTACCTCTTAAAGTTAGGCAGTCACTGGTGGACTAGTCATTAAACAAACTTGATTTAATAAAAAAAAGCAAAAGACTCATTCATCTTTCAATTCATCCCTTAATTCATAAATACATTTTTTCCCAAAGTATGTCAGCAGACAGTAGAAGCTTTGTGTGTACAATAATGAAATGTATCGATGCAAATTATTACTACCAAAGTGCCCCTGTACATTATTATTGTTGTAGAGAAAAAGTGTTTACAGTACCTCCCGCTTCCACTTGACATGACAGGAGTGGTCCGCATGAGCAGGTCTGAGATCTGTGACGACAGCTTGGTCTTGGCAGCAGTTTGCTGCTGAACCCTCATATCTGCGGCGTCGGCCAGGTGCATCAGCGTCTTCCTCTCCGGGCTCTCCTCAAAGTTCTTGCAGCCGATGCACTTACAAATGGACGAACACATGATCTTCGCCTTTGAGGTAAGACAAAGGAAAGAATACAAATCAGGTCAGGTGGTGACAAACTGGGTTAAACAATTATGATGAATCATCTATTTTCTTGAGTCATATTCAAGCACTTTTACATTTTTCAGCCCCTGACATCTGTATGTAAATTAAATAGTTACAATATATCAATTATTTTACTGCATTACATTGAAATTGCAGCAATTATGAGTCCAAGCGGGATGAACACAGTTGTCATTAATACATTTGATTACGGTCTCTGTCTAATTAGTGTCACAGCCATTCTTGTGAGTCAGCATGAACAATACCAGGGCCAACCTAAATGGAATAGGGCCATCATTAATGTTATTAATTACACCTGTGACTGCAAAAGTAAAAATAGCAGCTGTGAAAAGGGCCTTCTGTGCTTTAAACAATATGTTTTGTGATGATTACACTTTGAAGCAGTTTCATGCATTTGATTAAAAATGCAAGCAATTATCAAACCTTGAAAGAGTTTATAAGGATTTCTAGAAACAGAATTATAAAAACAGGTCCTGAAAAGAGGGAGGGAAAGCCCACCTCGTAGCACTCGCAGTAGTTCTTCAGGCAGCCCGAGCGTTTGCAGTTGCAGCCTTTGCTGTGTCGGCGGTCCGACTCCCCCTCCTTGCCTTTACCTATTTTAGGTTTGAAGGCTTCTGGGTTCCGGTCCAGACACGTCTGCGAAAAGACATTAAATCTTTAATTCATCTGTATGACATAAAAGCAGCTCAGCCCAAAAACAAATCTCAAAAATATCTGCTTTACTTTTATAGCTTTGAGACGTTCCGTTTCATGTTCCAGATTATTGAAGCAGTTATTGCAGTTACAATTACTGCAGAACTCTCCATTTGCAAAGCAGTCACAGTATCTAGAGGGAGAAAAGCAAAGCTCTGGATGAACAAAACAGGAGGGGACTGACATTTTTGCCAGTAGTTTATTATTTACCGATGATTTAGTACAATTACAAACAGTTACAAAGTCTCAACATTAAAAACAGGTCTAAATCCCAGTGATACTTACAGTTTGAGACACTGTGACTTGGTGCAGTTGCATGGTTTCCTCGGTCTTGAGGTCGTTTCTGCTGCTGACAATCTGTAAGCCAGTGAATAACATTACCTTTATATTAAAGCACATCAAACCGATCATTCTTAGAAAGAGAAAAGATATTCGATTTTATTTTCTAATAGTATACACATTTATTTTATTTGTAGCGGTAGATAAAGGGGTAAAGAGGGGAATGGTATGCAACAAAAGTCCCCAGTACACTATATTGCCCCATACGTAGCATTTCTATAGCCATTTTGCTAAAAAAAAACATTTTTAGTCAATGACATTTTGTTTACTACCACAGGAAAAATAGATCCTTTAATAATAAACAATTTAAAAAAACAAGTCTTCTGTCACAATAGAGATTAAAGAGGCCATATTAAAATAATCAAGTTAGCTTTTTGGCTAATACAAACTATTTAAACTACATATCTTTAGTAGGCAAGATATTTTACCCAGAGTCCTAATAATTGTTTTGGTCCACATTACAGTTTTCACAATTTTTGAAAGAAAAAAAACAGGTTTAAAAACCATCATGTAGTTGTGCTGTCCCACATCTAACCCTTACCCATTGAGGGGCAGTCTGGCCTGAGTCTGGATACCGGTGTTCGTGGTGAAAGCAGAGCTGCTGGCGAGGGTCACAAATGGGCTCTGCTGGAGCTACAGGAGAGGCAGATCACACAGAAAATACTCAGAACATGCACATCAAAGATAAGTCAGTCAAAAAGAAAAACCTCACACCCAAAACACCACTGACCTGTGTGACGTATTGTGCTGGGACGACCGCATATCCCATGTTCCCTCCTCCTGGAGCTGGGGCCAGAACGGTACCTGGGGGGAGGTTGGTGAAGTTGGGCTGGATCTGGGGTAGAGGAGTTGCAGGCATGATGAGGCGTTGCTGGGTCTGAGTGGTGGTTACTACAGCTGCTGATGTTAGGGACTTAGGGGCCATCTATAAAGGAAAACAAACCATGAATGCATCGCAGGAGACATTATACAAGAAAACACTGCTTGAATAAAGATTAAAAAAAGGCATTTACAGAATCGCTGCGCTACCTGTTTGATGGACTGTGCCGGGACGATTGGGACCGACATCCTGACGGGTCCTGTGCTGACCATCATAGGTTTAGCTGTGGGACATTAAGAAACATGAGTTGAAACAGAAGAGCTTCAACAGTGTCATCTACGTTTGTTACCAGGATAAACCCTACACATGCAGTCCATCCCTGTGAATGAAAACAGGTGAGGTGTGTGAATGAAAACAAGGATCAATATTGTGGAATCGCAAGAATTTCCCAGCTCACTAACTCGTAACATTTCAGGTAAAACGCATGTACGGCTGAGTTGTTAATAAAGAAGTACAATCGTGACCGTCTTATGAAAGACTTCTTTTCATAAAGCGATCAAACTAAGCACAAGACTCAGCTGATGACATCCAGGAAGAGTTTAAAATGAACGCCAATGCTTTCATGACAATTCTCTGGCAAGTTCTTGATTAACTCCAGTTTGTGAATATAAAAACCGACGTTGGAGGAGCCTGTGACCTACGTTTTTCATTTCCATATCTACACTGTAGCTAATGTGCTAATGACAATAAAGCCTTGAAACTTGAGACGTCCGCCACATAAATCCAGACTTTCCCCATCTTCTTCTGTGGCTTTGAGAAGGGTTTCAATTGTTTTGTTTATGTTAAGAAGTGTTGCATTTCCACCATCTGTTTAAATGTCTCTTGACTCATACATTACTGAATGTAGTGTTTTTGTGAATAGTGAAAAAAACAAGCCGTGTATGAAAGGTTATCCCAGTAATTTCCCGGGAACCATGTGTGAAAGAGTGTCAAAGTTACCGGTCTGTAGAGAGCTGGTGCTGGGACCGCTGGGCTGTCCCGAGCTGCTCGCTGTAGTGGCTGTGACCAGGCGGACGTAGTGGAACCTGCTACCTGGAACCTGGATCTGCTGCACATTTGGCTGGGTGGCCAGTGGGATGATGGTCTTGAACTGGGAGCCGCCAACTCCGCCCACGGTCACAGTTTGCCCTGGTTTAAGACCCTGAAAATATTCAGAAATCAGAGATTTAGGTTTAAATGACAGACATGTAAATCAACAATATTGTGAGTCAAGTTAAATGTAAGAATATTTTCACTTAATTAAAAGGCTTGGAGAACCAGTAAGTCAGAAAGAACCTGGGTCCTTTATACCAAATTCTGTCAAACTATTGAAAGCTAACGCAGACATTTGTAATGAAAGAAGGAAGTGGACTGTGTCCTTAACACATTGGAGTTAGAATAGAATGAAACTTTGGAGAAGTTATATTGCCCATAATACCAACTGCTCTGTAAATAGAAACAAAGGCACATCCTTAAATCATTAGCCATCTTTGCCAGAAGTGAAAGAAATAAAACCTTTTTTACCCCAACACATTGCATTTGTATCACAGTCAATTGAAAGGCAAACAAAGCAACAGATGGACAACACACAGGTGTGGTGGAAGGCTCAAGCGGGAAATCTTCAACAACAATTAATCAGCATATTTTTTCACCTTCATATTTCTTTATGCTGCTTTACTTTGCAAGCAGTAGTATTACATGTATTAGCCATAGGGTACAACGCCACACTATTTAATACTAAACCACAATGTAAATGCCCCGCTTATAATCAAGTTACAGGTTTACTGCTGTTGGGGCAAGTTGTTAATAAGTTGTTTAACAGAAGCCGTTAATACAATCATAAATAATTTGAACATGTCAAATATACTTGGGATCCAGCATCGAAGTGAGGATTTGCTGCTGTTTTGTGATGGTAAACAGATTTTTGAAAACATTCAGTTATTTCTGACCTTTTCTAGACCAAATCACGAGTTTTGTTTTAAAGAAAATAATTGACTGATTAATTGATGATACAAATATATTTGCAGTTCTACTTCCAGCACATCATGGAACAAGGTGTTTTAATGTGCGTCAACTGTCCCATTGACACACATTTGTAATGCGACACTCGTCACATTCATTCGGAGGTTAACCTGACCTACTGTGTTGTCTTTGCTAAAAGAGAGATGACTGTGGCGTGAGCAATGCTGCAGAAGTTGTCAAACACGTCTTTCCTTGTCATCCGTTTCAATATCAGGTCAGGCGAGCCAATACTTGAAACGACAATAGACAGTGAAGAGCTCGGATCTTACCTGTGTGGTTTGGCTCGTGGTCACTTTGATTGGAGACCCCGGTGTAGACTGTTGGACTGTGAGGATCTGCTGTCCAAGTGCTACATTGACGGGCAGCGTCATTGACTTGTGAGAGGCGTTGGAGGTCGGAGAAGCCACAGAAACCACAGTCACCTGGCAGGGACAAACAAAGAGGGCACAGCACAATCAGTCCAAATACTATCCTGATAAACCACTTGATATACATATCAATATAAAACACCTACTTTCTTTTGTGTTGTTGTAATGCATGAAGCTGGAAGTTACTGCCAATATAGGTCTCAAACAATTCAAAAATAATGTCTGCATATTTGAGCAGAAACTGAATGAAAAGACTACTCAAATGTAGCCTTAAGAGTAAGAGACCTTTGTCAGAGTGGATATTTTGACTTGGCAAACACAGGTGTAAACAATAACATGAATGATTGCTGTTTTCCATGTGAGTGTGTGCAGGGCTCTGGTGCATACTGGCTGATGACAGGATGTCTTAAAGAGAATATCGTTAAGATTATTCACGACACCTGTGCTTTCTCTGCTCCAAGGAAAATGTTAGTCCTCTTAAAAGGGACAGATCTGGTGTGTGTTCTCCAGGGTTGGAGGTATCAGCTGCACAGATGACTGCATTTTCTCAAATTAATGGAGCAAGAGGCCACTCGGCTCGAGGTGCTCAAAGCGCCAAATCAATACATTTGAAAATCTTACGAGCTCCATGGTTATTTAAGATAATCCACAGACTTTGTTTCAGCAGTTTCATGTAGGAACTATTGCCTTTGGTCATTTTTCTTTAACTTTCTAAGTTCCTATATGAAACAGTTTACAGCAAAGTAGATTATCATGATAATTAGGACATCATTCCTTGAAAGAGACATTGCCATTGAGTGTTCACATGTATTGTTTTGGCACTTTGAGCACCACAACTGTAGTTAACTTAATGGTAAGACAAAAATGATACATTATTGATTTTAGGGGTGAACTGTCCTAGGTGAGAAAAAAAAGGTGTGGTCGCTTGGCAACATGAAATCAGAATTGATTGTATTTCCAGGCATCTGCAGTGTGTCACAACTTAACTGAACTGGAAAACCTTTACAAAATAACAGGAAAAAAAAAAGAGTGGGAAAAATCCTTCATTCAAAAAAGATAAGGATGAATGTAGAATGTACCTTGCTGGGAGATTTAAGGGGTGAAATGGCAATCTTTTTGCCAGTTATGCTCTGTAGTGTTGTAGTGTTGTGGGGCTCAGAGAGAGTAATAGTCCTTGAGGGCATCCCTAGGGAACTCTGCGTCAAGACCCGTCCTTTAATCAAAAAGCACAAGATTTGAGAAAACATGGCTTCATTACAGCACAACTAAAAAGGTGTATCACTGATAATATGTTTACAACACACAACGATAATACAAATAAAGTACCTGCGATAACAGGAGTAACTGATGTCTGAGGACTTAGACCTTTGCTGTTAACAGTTTTTGTGATGATAAACTTGATTGGTGCAGCCGAGGACACTGGTGTTTTCTTAGCAATCTGTGGAAATATTCAGAATCATTTCCATTATATTCCCATTCAAAAATGTATCTCAACAATTCCTGACTTCAAGTGCATACTTGATACATCAATGGTAAGTTAGAAACGTATCATTGTTAGCAGCCATAACTGGTGGTTAAACAGTAAAACAACCCAACTGCCTGAAAATGCATATTCCTCAAATACCCCATCCTTTATTCCTATGATACTAGCAAACACAGGTGTGAACTTGTGCCATCACAAAACATACATATACAATTGGAGATATCTATAGTAATAACTCATAATGCTGTTTCTCTCTGAAAGGTTTAATACGTCAACTTCTTTAAACTCAAAGGTTCATACTCAGGTTTATAACAAATGAGAATCATTGCTTTATTTTAATAATTGGAAAAATTGATTGTACTGCTATTCTTTACCATGTGTAGAGCTTTGAGCATGTATGCATCAAACTCATCTAATTCAATATGTTGTTCTCTCTTTAAATCTTCAAGTCATGCCAAAATAAAAAAAATGTTAACAAAAAGGTTGTTTTTGATACCAAACTGACTGACAGGTCTCTTTGTGCCAGCATTAGACAAAGAAGCAGGTAAGTCAAGCAAATAAATATATCTGTCCAGGGTCCCCAATAAGTTGTCATCGCATTATAATGGTTCATCCTTTTCTCTCATCTGTTCTCCAATTACCAAACTATGTTTGGAGTAAACAGGGCAGGCGCAACAACAGTTGTTTTTTATTTTATTTAGTCAGCTTTGACTTTCAAAGCCCACTTTAACATCTACTTGGACAGGCCAATGGATTCAAAGCACTGCAGTTGAACAAAGCCAGTCATTTATTTGTTACAATGTTAATTAAGGTTAAATAACAGTTTGTTAACAGTTTCTTATGTATTTTCCGTAAAATCTTAAGGTAATTATATTTAATTAGACACTGATATGGAGCACATTATGTCTGGGCAATTCATTGGTGAAATAATAAACATTCTTATGTTTAAATATGGCACTATAACACAATGTTACCTGTACGGTCTTCAGCTGCTGGGCCTGTAATGTGGTCAGCTGGTTTCCAGGACTCCCAAGTATTGGCTTCAGCTCCGTCCTGCCACCAATAGTCACCACTTTAAACTGTGGAGCTTGGGATTTCAGGTCTCCTGAAGTCTGTGAAAGGCCAGGCTTGCTGCCTGTGTGGGGTAACTGCAAAACTATAGGTTGCCCTGACTTTCCTATTGCTGTGACCAAAAGCTTTTGTCCCTCCTGCTTGATGATCTGGGGTGGACCACCCGCAGACTTTGCTGCTTCTGATGCCACCTTGTTGAGAATGATCTGATGGCTTGCAGCAGAGATAGTAAACGGAGCTGTGAGCTTCTGTAATCCACTTGTAGAGAAAGTAGTCCCAGTCAAACTATCTGTGGTTTTGGTGGTGGCTATGGAAGTAGCCATGGCTGGTTTAAAGGTAAGAAGGGATGGCGATGAACTGGACATTGACATGGGGAGCTGACTTCCGGAGCTGATGATGAATGTGGAGTTTGAGACGGTGGACGTGGTGAGAGCCTGAGTGTGTCCGGTTGAAGCTGCAATTGAACACAGGCTCACATTTTCTGAAGCCATGGGTGTATCCGTTTCCATTGGGACCGGTGCGTCATCGCTTGCTGACTGGACCGTGGTGCCGCCGCCGGGTTGGGAGTGAGGGATTTCCTCTATGGCCTCAGTATCCATGATCTCATCAGGAAGGAGGCTGTTGAGCTCTGGTGACACCACATCCATGCTTGCAAAGTCTCAGCTCTCTGTTAATCCAGAAAGAATAATACAATAACACATAAACAATGCAACTATTTTTCCTTGTGTCAAATGTGTCAAAGAAATTCACATTTTGGAGGTTTAAACATTTTTCATCTTTTTAATGCAATTATTTTAATCTGATTTAGGGGAAGTATTACTTTTTAGAAAAAGGCTTTGGAGGGATAAAACATTAAATAAAATGTAACACAGGTATGAATTTACTGCACTAACATACACTGTGGTGCCTGGTGTACACACCCTATGACAGACAATATTTGTATTACTTTGCAAAAAGTTAATTCATTTAATTTGCAATAAACAAGAGTTCTGATTTTAAAATACATATTATTCATTTATATTGCATTTGTCAACATAATTAATAACTCATATAGATAAGGATTTTTGTCATATGCAGTAGCTACATGATAGTTATGATAATTACAATCTTAAATCCCAGTTCAACAATGCAACATAAATATATATATATATATCAAACTTTTTTGTAACAATAAAACAAATAGTGCAAGAAGAAACTGAAATGAAATAGTGCAAGATTAAGTTGCAAGATACATACATTAATGGATAATGATACTGTCTGTTTGCGACAGGAGTTGCAATAAAAAATAAACAAACAGTTAAAGCTAACGAGTTAGCCTTATTCACAGTTAGAAAAATACCCAATGTGGTACTTTAATGCAGGTATATTTCAGTAATCACGTGAGTGTTAATGAATGGAGAGGTGTACATGAGTCACGTCTGAGTTCCTCTCATGTTTGACACAGCCTGACAGCTGATGCTGGGTTAGCATTAGGCCGCAGCGATCATCTTTGTCCTGCTGCTCTCTACTCAACATTAATCCACCGAAACACCGCACATATGAACCCTACCCTCCCCACACACTCACTGCTAAATGCCCTCATTGTTTCCGCGTCTCCCGGAGGAAAGTCACCAAAAGAAAACAGTGCTGATCTGCACTCGTTTGAGTAAAACACCAGAAGTGTTTCCCAGTTGGGGGAAAGAGTGAGAAAAAGCGACAAGCTGTTTGCTGGCTGCGTTACTATTTCAGGCCGGGGTTGGATTTCGAAAGATCCGCCATTTTTACCTCGTCATCAACTCTGTTAGCTCTCCGGCTAATACATAGGTATTTAGGATTAAGGAATTTGTTTAATATTTTTTACTTGAAGCTAAAACATGAAAAAGAACAGCTAGTACACATGAAATCCGATCACAATATTTGCTAGTAACTGTGGTCTACTAGCAAGTAAACTATTCTGGCAGACTCTGACAACGTAAACAATGCTAGCATTCAATAATTCATCCTGTCACTTAAAACGTCCGTCTGGATTAAATCATTTTAGGTCAGACAATTCACGTAATGAAATTGCAACAATATATTTAACTGTAGGCATGTGTGGCCTGTGCTTTTAAGGTGCTATGAATAAACTTAACCTGTTTAGCCAGTTATAAATTAACAATTTTAGTCTTATTTTTCACCAGGTCAATACATAAAAGATCCGTTTCTAAATAAGAAAAACAACAATGCGAGGTTTTCAGCTAAGTAAAATGTAAAACGCTCAAAGCAAAAGGTAATAACTCTTTGTACTCTTGTAATGTTTTTGACAGCATGCACAAGAAGACCAGTTGTTGTGCATTAGCTGCTTTACCAAGACATAACTACTCAAAATACGCTTCTCACTGTTCAGCTAAGTTAGCTTTTACTTTCCATTTGTAGACGCACTAACTTAGCATATTTGCACTATAGTCAATATATTGTTTGTTGATACAAACCAAACTTTGTGTCCGCACACACAACACTGTAAGGGACCAGTTTCAGGGAATATCCTGGCCCCTGTGCCCTTTATTTGTGTGTAAGCATCGCTATCATCTTCATCATCAGCCTCATAGAGCCAGCCCAGCGGGCAGGACAACTGTATTAGCAAACTTGCTGAGCTTGCTAACCCAAGCTAGCTAGCACAACAATATATCTCAACATTGAACACACTCTTAAAGTTTGCGGCTTTCTGCTGGATGTAGTGTCGCAAACTCTAGAAACGAACAACACATAGGCACCTTACCCGATATGTTTACACTGAGCAACGTTTCCAGATAAAACGAGGAAAGGAAAAGGCGATTGTTCAAAATACCGCGCCGAGCGCCATTCCTCCCTGACATTTCACAAGTGGACCACGCCCTCCGCGTACTACGTCACTGTTACGTAATTCTTAAAGGTGCAGAAACACTACCAACAACCCTAATAACATTCAGTCTTTATAACTTCAACTTTGCAAGTCAAAAAGATAGATAAATAAAGAATTGTCCATACATATACCAAAAATGTAAACAAAGCAAAAAGTTTAATGTATGGCTCTTTTATTAAACTAAGGTAGCCTGTTTTTTTAAACTCATACTTATATATATATATAAATATATATATATATAGAACAACACTTTTACTTTGGTTACACCTGGAGTATCATTCACAAACTGCCCTGAAGCATACAAAGTAATTAAAACTAGCTGCACCTTTACCAGCTTTGATAAAAACATTAATGCATCAATAATTATAAACACATACAATATATTTTTCTGAAATGGGTCAATTTGCATAATGAGTATTTTAACTGTTGGTACGTTCAGTATATTTTGATTGCAGGACTTTTAATACTACTACTACTACTACTACCTCTTTATTTAAGTACAAGATTTGAGTACTTCTCCCACCTCTGGCAACAAAGTACGTTTTAAATTAACGTACTCCGACCTCTGCAGAGAGCTTTGTGACAGGTACCTTTCTGAGCCAGAGCAGCCAGCAGCCTCTGTTGGCGGTTGTCTGTCTGCTGGAGGACCGAGTCGACCGACCCTCACACCGGAAGACTAGCCCCGCTCTTGGCAGAGGAAGCCGGTGTTGTTGACACTTCTGCAGGCGACAATGGCGACCGACGTGAGGCAGGAGCTTGCACAGCTGATTAATTCAACTGGATCTCACAAAGATCTTGCTGCCAAGTATGTAACACTATATTTAAGACTTCCTTATACATGCTATTTAAAATTTGAGAAAGTAAGTGCTACATTAAATGTTAGCTAGCAATGAGATAGATGTGATAGCTAAGCTTGCGTTAGCCTCCTAGCTACGTTAGCCATACATTTAGCTAGCCCGGTAAACGTTGGTTGTTTATAACTCCCTGTCAAACACTTTATTTTACAGATTATCCTTTAAATTGTAACACCACGGTTGGGCGATATTAAAGTGGCCAGTTTACTGCTCACGTTAATGTTACATTAATGTTACATTTCATAATATTAGCATTAGCACTGTTTACTAGCTACACAGTTAACTTGTGCTGGGCACAACATAGCTTTCTAGATTCAAAGGTTTTTTTGTCATATGCACATTAGCAACAGTGTAGTTATAGCAATGAAAATCTTAAGTCCCAGGTCCTCCAACAATGCAATATAATGATTGTATATAACACAAAAAGCCAAAGAAGTAAACTACGTATGTCAAATAATTAACACTAAGCTTTATGTTGCAGAGGATGTTGCAAGTCACATTGCAAAATGCAAGAGTCTATACACTGTAGCATACATGTAAAATAGAATAAGATAAAGAAGAACAGAATGTGGAATTAAATGCTGTAGAGTGGAATAAAAACTGCTTATTTTTGTTTTATGTTAATCTCCATTATTAAATCCTAGCCTTGTGATTTTCCATGTATCAGTTTCATGGACCTCCAAAACCCAGGGGCGTAGTTTCTAACCTGTAAATCTTTTTCTAGATATCGACAAATTCTAGAGAAGGCCATTCAGTTTACAGATGCTGAGCAACTGGAATCCTTGAAGGCCTTTGTTGAAGCAAGTATGCTGTACCCATTTTCTTTAACGCATCAGAATTTTACCACAAACTTATTTGTATGTGAACAGGAGGACATCTTACCTCAGTATTTATACATTTCTTTTACAGTGGTCAATGAAAATGTCAGTCTTGTCATCTCGAGACAACTGCTCACCGATTTCTGCACACATTTGCCCAACCTGCCCGACGTCACAGCTAAAGCAGTGTATCACTTCACCTTGGAAAAGATTCAGCCAAGGGTCATCTCTTTTGAGGAACAAGTAAATACCCTCACACACTCTAATATATTAGGCCAATAAACATCAGTATTCTTAATCAAATGCATAATGTTCTTCTTTATGTCCTCAGGTAGCCTCAATCAGACAGCACTTAGCAACCATTTATGAAAAGGAGGGAGACTGGAGAAATGCTGCCCAGGTTTTAGTTGGTATTCCCTTGGAAACAGGACAGAAGTAAGTAAGCTAATAGCAGATTTATTTTCTGACAATGTTTGTAGTATTCCCATGTCTTACCATACCTTTTGATTTCCTTCCTTAGGCAATACAATGTTGACTATAAGTTGGATACGTACCTGAAAATTGCCCGTCTCTACTTGGAGGACGATGATCCAGTGCAGGCAGAGGCTTACATCAACAGAGCCTCATTGCTTCAGAACGAGTCCTCTAATGAACAGCTACAGATACACTATAAGGTACACAGCTTGTCTATGCTTAACTGTAACTTTTGCAATTGAATAAATAGTTCTTAATAAAACCTTTTAGGGACTTTGCAGTAAACTGTTTATGTAGTGCCTTGGATCACTTTTTAATGCTGTTTAAATGTGTAGGTGTGCTATGCCAGAGTGCTAGACTTCAGGAGGAAGTTCATTGAAGCTGCACAAAGATACAACGAGCTGTCGTATAAGTCAATTGTCCATGAGACTGAACGTCTGGAGGCACTTAAACATGCGCTAAACTGCACCATACTGGCCTCTGCAGGTACTACCATCATTATTGTGCTTAGGTTTACATTTTCATAGACAATGTTAATGACAAACTTCTTGTACGATGCCAAAAATATTGTCATGTTTTTTTTTTTTCAGGCCAGCAGCGTTCCCGAATGTTGGCCACTCTTTTTAAAGATGAGCGCTGTCAACAGCTGGCTGCCTACGGTATTCTGGAGAAGATGTACCTGGACCGTATTATCAGAGGAAACCAGCTGCAGGAGTTTGCTGCCATGCTGATGCCTCACCAGAAAGCCACCACAGCAGATGGTGAGTGGAGAAGATTTGTTATAAGACAAGTTGGGTCAGTGAATTGGCAAAATGTTAATAATTCAACCCTCTCTTCTACAAATATATCAGGCTATAGCTGATATATTTGCTGCTTAAGCCATGTGAGCCGTGCCTGTTTATTAAAGCTACAGTACTTTAACAAATGTAAAGTATAATTTAGAGGCAGAATGAGTATGAATGTTTAAGCTCATTCAAAAAGAACCCCATGTGGTTTTGCAGAGATCTTGGCAAACTTCACCAAACAGCCTAAACAAACTGCAATGGTTAAATCCAAGTGCAGCACCCACTATACAGCAACATGTGTGTGTAGCCACTCTTGGGGTGCATTGCTGGGCGTGATTGGGCAATGCTTCAAAGCTGTTGTTTTATTTTATTTCTGGCTTGTACATGCTGAATGTGTCTCATACAAGGAATGAGGGAACCTGACCCTGGTCTGTGAATGCACTTTATGTTGTGTGTTGTCTCACTTGCAGGTTCCAGCATCCTTGACAGAGCAGTGATTGAACACAACCTCCTGTCTGCGAGCAAACTCTACAACAACATCACGTTTGAAGAACTAGGAGCATTGTTGGAAATTCCCCCAGCAAAGGTTAGACATTTCTTAAATTACACATAAACAAGTTTACTGTATGTAAATGGACATTAATACTTAATTCTATTCTCAATCTGACTCTTTGCATGGAGCACAGAATTATTAATGATAATCTGTTTCAGTTGCATTAACATAATCAGCATCTATATATATGTGTGTGGATGCATTCAAGCACAAGAAAGAAAAAAAGGCTCAAAGCAATAAATCTTTCCAGTCCTCTTCATCAAAAGTGATGAATTATAGCAATCCAATTATTCAGCTATGCAGGGACATTTGTACGATTTAAAGAAGATAAATGTTATTTATGTATTAAATGTGTGTAGCTGTTCATTTGCCATTATGTATGTTGAGATGCTTTTCTTCCTTTGTTTGTCATTAGGCTGAGAAAATTGCTTCCCAGATGATCACTGAAGGTCGCATGAATGGCTTCATCGACCAGATAGATAGCATTGTACACTTTGAGAGTGAGTTGAAAGTCAATTGTTTTTTACATTTGATAAAGGACAGAATTTGCCAGCTTTTGGATCAAAGTTCAGTATTTATCTTTTTCAAATTAACATTACAGTTATGATCAATACACAAATGTATTCCATTGCAAACACACAACTCAATTATGGAATCATTAGATTTCATTATTTAGTTTATTTTGACCAAACTGTCAAGAGTCTCAACCACACTTACAGAAATATTCTGGGCTCCACAGTAGTTACATATATATTTAGAGTGAAACAAGGCTCTCCTATCTCAGGTTTTGGTTTTTCTACTATTTGTAGGCACACACATCAGAAAGATATGAAAATAAATGACACATCCATTTTGGAGACAGGGTAAAACAATTAATTGAACACCTTCAATACTTTGAAGACTACTGCTGCAAATATAGCATTTGGACAATGAAAGCAAAACAGAGATTAAGGTACCTGAGGGGCTCTGACAAAAACATCTTGGTGTTATATTCACTTCTGATGGAAGTGCCCTGACCTTATTGATAAATGTTCAAACACTTTGGTACAATAATAAACCAAAGGCTAATAATGATAAGGCCCCAGTTAACTTAAAGAATAAACGTAACAATCTAACAAAAATAACGTTAAAATGATCAAACTAACCAACTAATCTATTTGCGTCCAGTAGGGGGCACCCTCTTCATACAGGAATGATAAGAAAACAGCACAAACTTTGTTTTTGAAGGAGGAAGTGCTTTGATAGAATACCACATAGAATTTGAATATGAAAATGTGTGGATCACAGGTCATAAAATGCAAATGTATTTGATGCTCTTTCTACCTTTCATGTTATGTCTAATAGCCCGGGAAGCCCTCCCTACCTGGGACAAACAGATCCAGTCTCTGTGCTTCCAAGTCAACAACCTCCTAGAAAAGATCCGCGCTGCTGCTCCAGAGTGGGCTGCTCAGGCCCTGGAATCCCAGATGACCCAGTAAACACCCCAACCCTCCGAAAAAA